CTCACCATTTTGATTAATCCAATTACTTTTTTATAACCTAATTAGGATTAACCATGATTCTCTAATATTTTTTACATCAAAATCATTAGTTTATAATTATTAATTTAGAAAGCAACTTAGCTCCTGCTTGGCCATAGATTTTGGAGTACATTTTCAAAGAAAAATTGAAAACATTGTTTGATCATAAAATTTGGTCAAGTTTTGAAAATTTATCTTCAAAAAGATTCAAGTTCCAAAAATTGGCCTAGACTAGTTTTGGGGTGAATTTCACTTCCACTCACAAAACTTCAAAAAAAATCCAAAGTAAAATGCATGTCGAACACAACTTCAAATTCCAAAAACTCATTTTTCTCACGTTTCAACTAAATCTAAGGCCAAATGCGCTTAATCTCGGTCTGAAGCTAGACATCTTAATGAACTGTCTGAAGACATAATAATATTTGATCAAAGACGGTCAATAAGTTAAGGACAAATGAGTACTTTCATATGCATTTTCCACATCTATTTTTTACTTGTATGGATCTAAATTTGTTATTATTTAAGAAAGGTACCTAGTAAACAAATTATCTAAGAACTCTCTAGTTAACCAAAAAAATCACTTTCCGTTTCAATTTATTTTTGGTAAACACATTTTGTCATACTTCTCATAAATAATCCCTATCTGAACTTTGTGCAGTGCTTCATTGGACTACTTGGATAGAGACTGATTTCAAGGAGTACATATGACTCTAGATAGGTTCAAATTTCTACTAATTTCAGAAATGTAGTTGTGGTCCATAACAAACTTTGAGTATCTTCTGGATAAGACTAGAGTCGAGTGGTTGAGAGCCAATTTAATTTTAAGTAAGGGCAGCTTGTATATATTGATCATGAACATGAGAGTGGCACCTCTTTGTTGCCTTCTATTGATGAAATTCTAAGTACTTCCAGTGAAAACTTCAGTTTCTTTTGATAATTATGCCTTACTGTCTTCTGGAGTCCATACAACAATTAGCAATTCTACCTACTCCTTTAAATAGATATCTGGAAAGAAGCAGATGGCAGAGTCAAGAACCAATGACATGAAACCTTAACATTATACTAGCACAAAGGTATGAAAGGACTTCGAAGATGCCACGTACGAGAAGCCTTTTAGTCAAAACAGTAGAATCTAAACAGTCAAGAACAGGGGAGAAAATACTTCGCCAAGGGGAAAGCTGCTTATATAGAGCGTTAACCCTTTTTCCTTTTAATATCTTATAGTACGGTGAACATAACAGGTACAAAGAGCAATCAGTAAGACTAATCAAAGAATAAACACAACAAGATTACTCTTAACCTGAAAACCTTTCCCTCTTGTAATTCCAGCGACATCCACATACTGGCCCGGAACAAAATGTCGGACACTGATGCTTGTTCCAACTGGAAGAAGTGCATCTTCGGTAACAGGAAACTCCTTCAACTTTCTCTTCATGGGCACACCTTGTGCTCTAAAATGACCTACTTCAGGTTTTGTCAAATGCTTCTCCTTTTTGTGAGCACATCCAATCTAACTACCACCATAATAAAGTTCAAGTAAACCACAGGACAGCACATCACAATGAGTAATTCATAGTCCTCAAAGCCATTTATTTAAACAAGTTCTTTAATTTCTGCTTTTTGTCAATCAGTAAATAACTTATTCAACCAATATCAAGTGTAAAGGCCACAAAATTTTCCATTCTCAGGCTTGAAAACACGTTCACATGAACATGGTCCTCACAACTATTACTACCAAGCAATAATTACAAAAAATAACAGAATTCTTTCAATGATGCTTGTGAATTACGGGTGCAAATAAATTAGTGATGGTTGAAGATTAGCATATCTTACCCTAACAAAAAAATTCGTTTTCAGGGAATCCAACCAGCAAATCAGTTTTAAATTGCCCTTCTTATATTTTTACATTTTATAGGATAGGATAAAGATTCAGTGTTCAAGAAAAACCTGTAGTGCAGTGATGCCTTCTTTTTCGGGGATTTTGACCTGGGAAACAATGTTATCATCTAACCAAAGGATGGTGATGGGAACGCGTTCCCCCCATTTGTCCCATAGAGCTGTCATTCCACATTTGACGGCTATGGCTCCAGTACGCTTAGAGTTTGATCTCATAATTCCAGGTTTTCCTTCAATAATCCGAGTCCTTAGTTCCTCCACTTGGCTACTGCAAGCACTGAAGGTTCTGCACTGAGTTTCCGAAGCTGTGAAGGATAGAAGGATGCGGAGATGAGAAATGAGGCTTCTCGATGCGGCGGCTGCCATTGAGGAGCTCACTTCACCTCCCTCTCGATTGTCCTACACAAATTGATGAGTTGTTATTACTGGAAACTGCAAAGGAAGATGGAGAAGGACGAACAGGGCTTTGCCGATGCTCCTTTTTGCCGTAGGGTTTTAGACGTTAGACATTATTGGTATATTAATTTTATTTAAATTAAATAATAGATGGAAGATATATTATATAATATCATTGTTACGAATTTATAGGACTACAATATAAAATATCAAATAATGTGATATAATTATCAATTATTTAGAAATTATAACAATAAAAATTTATTAGAGTAATGAAAATAAAAATTATTAAGATTTGATTTTTATGTGTCGTATAGTGTATAAATATTATGTGTATATAATATTTTAACTCTCTTTTTTTTAAGAATATAATTTGACTGTTTTCATAATTTTATTCTTGTAAAAAATATTTTTGAAAAGCAAATAAATAAACAATGTAAAGAAAAGGTCTTAGAAAAAATTTCTAGCTTTAATACTTTTTATTCGTTCATTTTCCTTAGAAAAAGGTGTGACTATATTTCACTTATGATTCACACAAGATACATTTATAAGCAATATATTGTTAATAAGTAATTTCTTATTAAAAAAAACAGTTCTTTTGAATATGTGAGTTTCCACCATTCACATATTTCAGCTAATAAAATTAATATTCTTACGCAAGTGAGATATTAAAAAGTATAATGAAATTTCTCTAAAATAGCTACATACTTACATATTTACTAACATGCCATCTTAAAGTTGTCATTATTTGCTTTCAAAATAATCACTTTTTACAAATTTCAGATAACAAAATTTAAACAATATTCATAAGTGAAATTAAAGAGTAAGATATAATTTTGGACAATAGCATAAAATAATGTCAAAATTTTGGAATCACTTTTCGAAGAGAATTTTTTTTATATGTGTGGAGGAGTTTTATCTACATGGTAAATTCATGCTTTATAAAAGAGGTTACAATATAACTTTAAATCTTGACTTCCTTGAAAAATTTAACACACCACCTTCATTTTTATCACAAGAAAACTCAAACTCCCCCAACTCAAAAGGAATTACAACATGCTATATTGATTTGGTCATCATATATGCTTCATTTTGAAAAATGAAATTGAATACCTAATAAAAAAATTTCAAGTATTTCAAAATCTTGATTCATATTATAATATTTTACTGAAATACATGAAGTCTTCAAAGAATTAAAATAATAATAAAACAAAAAAATAAAAAAACATAAATAATATAATAAGAAAAAAAAAGTTTACGAATTCCCCTTTGAACAATGGCTTCCTTGAAAAAATGTAGCACACCACTTTCCTTTATTTTTATTACAAAATCAAGCTCCTACAACTAAAAAAAATTATGGGAGAAACTACAAAATTAAGGAACTATGTATTCCAAAATCTTAATTCATATTAAAATATTCTACTACAATACATGAAGTCTACAAAGGGTTAAAATTAAAATAAAACACAAAAATAAAAAATAAAATAAAAAGGCATAAATAAAATAATAACAAAAAAAAAGTCATTAATACCCCTTTGAACATTGGCTTCCTTGAAAAATGTAGCACACAATTTTCTTCATTTTTATTACAAGAAAAGCAAGCTCCTACAACTCAAATGAAATTAAAAGAGGAACTGCATATTTCAAAATCTTCTTTCATATTAAAATATTCTAATGCAATACATAAAGTCTTCAAAGAGTTAAAATCACAATAAAGCAAAAAACATAAAAAAACATAAAGAATATAATAACAAAAAAAAAGATTACGAATACCCCTTTGAACACTAGCTTCCTTGAAAAAATGTAGCACACCACTTTCCTTCATTTTTATCACAAGCACTACAACAAATTTGATTATTAGTGACAAAAAATAATTCGTCAGTCATTCGTCTCTAAAGCATGGGTCACTAAATGTATACAGAGACAATTTAGTGTTTTGTCACTAAATAGAAATATAATAACTACAAAAAAAAATTGTCCCTAAATGCTTCGTATTTTATGACAAATTTGTTCGTCATAAAAATTATTAAAATTTATAGGTAAAGATATATTTTTGTCACTAAATAGGTCATTATAGCCGACGAAAATGATGTGTCACTAACTATTTAGTTTAATTAGTGATGATGCAATTTGTCTCTAATATTTTATGTATTTCGTAGTCAAGCAAATAATATTTTGTCACTAAAAATTACTTTTTACATACATTTTTTTCATTGTCCCTAAAGGTAAAAATTAGTGACAACTTTATATTTAAATAATTTTGTAGTTGAAACAATCATGTCGTCACTAAAAATAATTCTTTTACCGACAAAATAAAATTGTCACTAAAAAATATTTTTGTCACGGAATGTCATACTTTAATGACGAAAATGTTATCGTCTTAAAAAATAATGTATTCATCACTAAAAAATGAGCTTTTGAAGATAAAATGTTTTGTCACTAATGACATTTAAACTTGTAGCAATACTATTTACCATTCGTATTAAGCTAGGTCTCCGTAAATTTAAAAATTTATTAAAATTATTAAATAATACAAATATATTAAACTTAATAGCATGAAGTAGTGCTTTTAATAATGAGCATCATACACTATACAAATTAAAATTAACAACATACTAAAAGAAGCAAGATAATAATAAAAAATTACACTGTCATTTATTAATTAAGAACATTTAAAATGACATTTATAGATAATAATAAAAAAAATTACACTGTCATATATTAATTAAGAACATCTAAAATGACATTCATGAGATAATATCTCAGCATTCCTCTTAAGGAAAAATGTATTAAGTAAAAATTATCCAACTTGAAAGTATAACTAAGATATACTAAATATTAACAAAACTAAGGCAGTAAAATAGAGGTTGCTTCTCAAAATACCATTGCAAAAACACTTCACTAGCCACTAGTCTTGATTTCCACCTTCCACAACCTGTCTAAAAGAAAAAAAATTGATTTCATATTTGATATATAGCCGTAAAAAAGAAAAATTACAGTTTTATTATGTACTAAACTTATGAAAGTACAAGTCATTAAAAATTTGTACAAATTGAGCAGGTGAAATTTTAATCCATATATTTGTAGCTCATTTCAGTTCAAATAATTTTTGAGCAAATTAATAACCCATCAATCTGTAACTCATCCCATCTTGATTTGTCTAAATTCAATCCAATTCATTCATTTGTCACCAGACATAAATTATATGATTATAATGTATTTTCTTGCTGAAATGAATATATCTAGCAAAAGCAGCCAAGAAGAAATAAAAGAAAACAAAAGACAGAAGCTAAAATCCTACGTAACTTTTACTTTAATTTGGACAACTTCGACTTGATTGTAATTATATGCATGAATAATATTCTAGCTTACGTGCTTTTTGTCTCTAAAACGAGATGATAATTGAAAAAGGGAGCGGACCTGGATGGATACAGATCCGTCTTTAACAAACTTTTAATTTCGCCGGAGTTCTGCTTTGCTCGCTGCTGCTGTTGGTGTTCACGCCGTCTCCGTAGTGCTGCTGCTTTTCCGGAGCTCTTCGCCGGTCGCAGCTGCTACTGGTTTCGCGTTCTCGCCGGTGGCTCGCGTCGTCGGAGCTGCTTGTTGTTTCGCCGGTAGCTGGCTGTTGCTTTCTCGCCGAGCTGCTGGCTTCGCCGGCTGGAGAGAAGAGAGAACAAAGAGGGAGAGAAGGAGAAGAGGAGAGGGGTGTCGACTGGTGGTCCTCCGCCTGCTGCTTCTCGCCAGAACGAGGGAAAATGGAGAGGAGAGGGCTGGGGCGCTTTGGAGAGAGGAGGAAGAATGAGAGTGAAAAAATTGGGTTGAGTTCTTTTTAGATTAAAATAAGAAAGAGTTAGGAGAAACGATCTCGTCCGTTGATTTAATAAGAGATGAAAGACTATAATTTGATCTAGAATTTAATTTAAGGATGAACGGATGAGATGAGAGTTGGAACGGATTTAGAATGACCAAAATTGCAATAAAATTGATTAGAATTGAGATGCAAGGATGACTATAATTGAAATACAATTGAAATTGAATAGGCTGGAATTGAAATGGATTAGAATCAAATAGGCTACAAATTAAATATTTTAGAGGAATTTTAAGGAGATGCTATCCAATTAAAATACTACATATATTAAAATAATTTTATATAATTAACATCACTTAAATTTTAAAACATTTGAGCAAAATAATTATTTCGAGTTCAACTATCGATAAATATAATAATTTAATAATAATGAAAATAATTTAATAATAATTACAATATTCTTTTTTATGAGTCGTGTATACTAAAATATATAATTTTTAGACACAATCGATTAAAATGTTAAACTCAAAATATTTTTTTAAAAAGATACTATTTAACCGAATAACACTTCCGAAGGTTGGTAAAAAATGTGGTGTCAACATCTACGTATGCAATTTTTGTCCGTATTTAAATGTATTTCTAGATTGTGCTAAAAACACCAAAATGAATATTAATAAAAATAACAAATAAAATTAATATTAACAAATGTAACGAATAAAATGAATGTCATGTAAAATGCAATTTAAAAAATAATGATTTAATTAAATTGAACATATTCAACCGATTGTGACAAAAGTAATGTAATCAAAATTAACTAATAAAAATACTAAAATTTTGAGAAATAAAGATAAGGATTGATAAACTTATTTAAAATTATATAAAAAAATGTATTTTGAACTATTGAATGAATAAAACTTAAAAGTTATGTAATTTTTAGAAAAATTGTTAGGACCAAAATTTGGATGTACAACAAATAACAATAATAATAATAATAATAATAATAATAATTTTATAAATTACGAATGTTAAAGTATATAATTATTTAGATAAAATTAAAGATAAATTCAAACATGTTATAAGAGAAATAGATTTTAAAATAGATATTTAATCAGATAGCAATTCGGAAAGGGTTATAGGTCAGTCAAAATTGGGTAGCAACAATCACAATAATTAAAAATTAAAAGACATATAAAAGATTATATTGATTATAAGATTTTTATTAGTGTCCCATAAATTGGAAATAACATATACTTTTTGAAAATTATGTAAAAGGTATTATAAATCTCACTAATTAACAACTTAAAATATCTAAACATCATATTAAATTTAATTGACTTTCTAAATTTTATTATTGTCACATAAATTGAGACAAAAAAAAACAGATATTGGGCACGTGCAAGCACAGACACTTATATCAAGTGCTCAAGCAGACAACATGTCAACATGCCTGGTTAAGCACTTTGAAGGTATTTTTTTTTTGCGGTTCTACCATTTTAATTTATTTGTCTTATTTTTTAAATTTTTTATACATTTAAAAATTTCATAAAAATACTATAAATCAGGATAATTAAAATATTTTTTTAAAAAATCATTATTATATGTTGTTAATTATTACGATTTAGTTTATTTTAAGCGATAAATGCAAATATATAGATTATTAAAAATGTATTTTTAATTATTGGAAATTTCTTTACTCTATGTGTCCCAACTTATGTGGCATGGATAGAATTTGAAAAGTCAAATTCAATTTTTATTTTTACCCTGAGTTTTTTATTTAATTTTTAAAATTATTTTAAATTATAAATTATTGTGATTTATAATACTTTTTTTACCTAATTTTGAAATATATAAATTATTAGAAATTTATTTTAATACTTTCATAGTCAAATGAAAAAAATGACCTTCAATTTAATTGAAATTCCACAAAGCACACATGTTGACCATGACATGTGTCCTCATAGAATCTTATATACTACTAGTGGCAAAACACCATGCTTTGCATGGACCCAATATTTATTTAAGAAGTTATTCTTCAATTTTAAGCATTTTAATTATATAATTTTAGATTTTTAAAAATCTAAATAAGTTATATATAAATAGTATAACATTGTAAATTTTAAGTGGTGTTGATAAAATTAATTTAAATCTATAGATGTAATTGTATGTAGTAAATGATCTCATTAAGGGTAAAACAAATACATACAAATATTATCAATATTGTAAATTTTAAATAGTGTTGATTTAAAAATTTTGGTGTGAGGCCAAGAATCTAAAATAACTCCTAATTTGGTGAGAGTTATTAGGAAATACTCCCTCCGTTCCTTTTTAATTGTCAATTTTTGACTTGGCATGCCTATTAAAAAAATAATGAATGATATAGTGAATTTACCATTTTACCCCTTTTAATTGATAGAATCTTAAACATATTTACTCACTAAATTCTTCAAAGACATTAACTCAATGTTATAAATTGAGGGTATAATAGGGAGAATTTTTATATTTAACTATGAAATTATTATACTTCATTTGTCACATGTAATCATAAACAAGCGTAACCAAAGATTATTATATTTAGCTATAAAAAAATTTCGTCACAAATAGTTAAATTATTTAGCAATAAATTTTAAATCGTTGTTATTTAAACATTGCATATTTGATGACAAAACTATATTGTCATTACATCGCACATTGATTATAGACAATACAATTATCATCACTGATTGCTTATAATATTAGTGACAAAAACTAAGGTCACAATTAAATATAAAAATTTGTGGCTAAAGCTTACAATATTTAATGACGAACTCTAATTTGTCTCTATTTAAAAAAATAATAATTGTGACAACGCCTTTTTGTGTCCAAAATTGTAACTAATTTTAAGACAAATAATAATTTGTCACAAATTGGATACATTATTAGTGACAAAATAATGTGTCACTGATAAATTAAAATTTGTCGCTAATGGCATTTAATAAATGGCGCCAAATTATATTTTGGTGGGAAACTCTACTGGACAAAATTTTGCTACGGAATTTTATGTTTCGTCATTAAAAGTATGTGGTTCATACATTTTAATATGAAATGTAATTTTTGTCACAAAACGTGAATAATTAGTGACGAATTATGCGTCGTACCTAATAATTTCGTAGCTAAATATCATGTTTGTTGTAGTGAAGAAAACTCAAGCTCCTACAATTCAAAAGAAATTAAGTGAGGAACTATAAAATTAAAAAACTACGTATTTCAAAATCTTGATTCATATTAAAATATTCTACTGAAATGCATGAAGTTTTCAAAGGGTTGAAATCATAATAAAGCAAAAATAACAATAATAAAAGAGCATAAATAATTTAATAACAAAAAAATTTACAAATACCCCTTGAACGTTGGCTTCCTTGAAAATGTGCACATCACTTTCCTTCATTTTGATTACAAGAAAACTCAAGCTTCTACAACTCAAAAGAAATTAAGTGAGGAACTACAAAATTATGAGAATTTTATGGAAATGAATGGATGGTTTAAAGGTTTGTAACCGATTTGAAATAATAATGACTAATAAGAATAACTCAATTAATAAAAAAACAAATGTGAGCGAAATTTATCAAAATTTAAGAAGTGTTTTATTTTTTAATGAATGAAAGAAATATGCGATAAGGAAGAGGAGAGTTTTAGGAAAATATAATTAATAATATTAATGATGAAATTATAAAAAGAAAAAAAGAAGATATTTTTATTTTTCTTAAAAAATTATGACAACAAATTAAATGAGATTGATTGAGATAAAAGTTAATGAAAAAAAATGTTTTTGGTAGTAGAAAAGGTTTTTCTATTATAGAAGATTATTATAGACATAAAAGGTAAAATGAAGAATTTAAGGAAAAGTAATAAATTATAATAATAGTGATGAGAAATGAAAAGTAATAAATTGTAGTAAGTAATGATGAGGAGAGATAAATAAGTTATTTTAAATATATTTTTTTCTTAATTTTATCATTTTAGAGATTTAAAAAATTCAAAAAATTAACAAAAAAGATTAATAGCAATCTGAATTCTGACCAAAGAGAGGTGTCACGTCACACTTTTATTATCTAGCTTTATTTAAGGAAAGTAATAAATTGTAATAATAGTGATGAGAAATGAAAAGTAATAAATTGTAGTGAGTAATGATGAGGAGAGATAAATAAGTTTTTTTAAATAATTTTTTCCCTTATTTTATCAGATTTTAGAGATTTAAAAAATTTTAAAAAAAAGAAGATAAATAGCAATCCTGTTCAAAGAGAGGTGCCATGTCACACTTTTATTATATATATATATATATATAGACTAGTTTTGACGCACGTGCATTGCACGTGAATATCAAACTATGTACTACACTATTTTTAAAAATAATTTAAATATTATTAAATAAAAAAATTAAGTAAGCAATTATAAAATAACTGATAATGTATAAGTTCCTATGAGTAGTGAATGTAAACTTTCTTATGATTACTACTGAAAGTTAGTCACTCTTAAAATCGCTTAGTTATACCTCTTAAATTTAGGTTCTCCTCTCTGCCCCATAGTGCATTACTTAGTTATTATTGTATTGTTGGAGTTCTTACTTTTAATATAATAAACATAAATAAATAATTATATAAAATATATACGATATACTAGATTGGATGTTTTTAGTTGGAGTATTATATTGATTTAACATTCATGAAAGTGGGGTCACAATTCAGGATATAGCCGTATCATCTCAACTAGGACAACCCGATAAGGGTCTCCTACACACTTCCGTAGCATCGATACATGGAAAACTGGATGAATAGATTCTAGCCTCGAAGGCAATTCTAACTCATAAGCCACTTGTCCTACCCTCCGAAGGATCCAGTATGGCCCAATGTATCTTGGACTAAGCTTGCCTTTTTTGCCAAATCTCATAACACCTTTCATAGGCGAGACTTTTAAGAATACCCAGTCATCGACACAAAA